AGGGGAAAAATGAGGACCTAATGTCGGGGGTTTAAATGGAGAGAAAATGTTTTGAGAAATGATGTACAAATACACTTTACACAATTGATGTGTGTGTGGATTGGGATAACAGTTATATGAGCCCCTAATAAAATGTTAAAAAAAAAATTATCACTTCATATCATTTTCTACCAGACTCATCTTTATCAGAAGCCTTCTCCTGGGGACAAGCAACAAAGGCCCCCTAGTGGCTACCTGCTCTTCTATCTACCCTGGCTGCTCGGCCACATGGAAGCACAGGGTGCACTGAAGCGCCAGCAGTGGGGTGGCGGGGCATGCAGGAAGCTGCCGTATTCCCCTCCCAGAGAACATGCTGCCTCCAAGGCCCGGTCCTTATCCTCCCTACCTCACTGCTCACTCTCTCTGTCTACAACCTTCCAGAAACACAGTTCCCGGATCCCAGAGCATACGCATCTCGGCCTAGCTGACTGTCCCATCTCCATGCCCTCCTTAGCTGTCCCAGAGGACCCCTCCCCTGCACAGCTGCTGCCTTCAGAAGGCTAACAGCCAGTGTCTTCCATGACTCTGGATTGGGGACCCTCCGGAATTCGTGCCCTGTTTTAGGGGGAGTGGGTGCTGCTGGGTAATTCTTTATGGGAATACAAAGCCTCCTCTTTCTCTCTTGGAGCAGCTGGATGTTTTGAACTGCTGATCTTGTGGATATCAGCCCAACATATAGCCCACTACCCACCTAAGGGGGGCGGGGGGCAGGGCAGAGGCAGCCAAGACCACAAGCTTTCCATGGGTTTGGCAAGGTGGCCACTGTGATGTCTGGCCTCCTAAGGAGCAGACCCACCCAGCAAGTCACCTCTAGAATTGAAGTGCCCCTGGGTCAGTTTCCACAGAAAAGAAAAGCACCAAGTAAGGGCTTAGGCAGCCCACTCAGATGGGAAACTGACCCTGGGGCAGAGGCCCAGGCCCGGGCTGATACCCACCAGCCCAAGCACAGAATGGCCTCAGAAGGCCTGGAGCTCTGGGCCAGGTCTTTGATGAGGAGATGGCCTGGCCCAGAGCAGGGGGCTGCTTCCCCCAAGGAGGGCACAGCAAATCATCATCCAGGTCCCCAGTGTGCTGTTCCCTGCTGGCTGCAATGTGCTGGGGCATCTGATTGGGCACTGCTAGCCCACCCAACTCTCTCCAGTGGGGCATCTGGCGCAGTGTAGGTTAATGGACATCACCAAAAAGGCAGCTTTGAGCTGTCCTGACACCACACTCCCTTCCCCCAGGGCTGGACGAAGTGTCCTTAAAGGAGGGAGGAGGAAGGGCACTGCTGATGAAAGCTGTTGACATGTCCTCTCTCGTGTCCCCTGATGGCTCCATGGCAAAGCCCCAGCCTGTGGTGGAGCCCAGCCCAGGTCCTGCTGGCTAACATGAGCCTGGAACATGTTCCTGGCAAGTGGTTCCTCATGCCCTGCCTCCCAGACCACACAAGGCCAGACTGGTGGTCCCAGCCTTGCACTATCGCGAGGAAGACCCTCAGGGGCTCAGGGAGGGTGGGGGCTTCCCCAAGCATATGCAGCAGAGCAGGGAACAGGGAGATGGGCACTCCCAGCACAGAGCTCACTCCAGGCGGACTTTTGCCCGCTCGCTCAGCAAGCTGCTTCACTAAGCTCTGGGCAGTGTGACCACTGGCAGGCTTCTATGTGCACATCCCTTCCTTTGGTTACTAACTGCAAGGCTGCCAATTTAAAACCACCATCCACTCCTTGGGAGACAGGTGAGGCTTTCTGCACTCATAAAGACTTACAATCTCAGAAATCTACGGGGCTGGCCATTCCACCCTGTCCTGTAGGGTGTCTGTGAGTGAGTCTGGTTTGGGTCTGGCTGATCCCCTCAGCCCCAGCCGCCCCTAGAGGATGCTCAGATGCCTGATGGGGAAGAGTATGGCCCTGAGGCAGACAGTCCTGGTTCCTACATCAGCCTTGCCATGAACTTGCTTTGTGACCTTGGGATAGTCAGTCCTCTCTGGGCCTCAGTTTTACTATCTGTTCAGTGAGGCAGGCAGACAGACAGAGATGATTCCTAGCTCAGTCTTTCCCACTCTCCTCCCCACAGAGCCTGAGCCTGTCTACACTTCAGTAGGAGGTGACACAGGGAACAGCCCACTCCTCTCCCAGGAGACCGGCAATCCTGCTGGCTGCTGCTCACACACAGGGGGAGGGTGTTTCTCTGGGCCAGCCGAGATGCTCTGATGGCAAAGCTAAGGGGGTGAGGAGGGCTGGGCAGATGACACTGAAGCTCCTCAATACGCAACCCCTGGTAAGAGACCCACAAAGGGGTGGGACAGACAGGAGGGGCACACCTCAAAGAGCATCAGGTCACCCAGGCCAAACCCTCCTTAGACAGAAGGCCAGGACCTTAGCCAGGTCACCAGAGAGCCAGGCAGAGCCCCAGCTAGGCCTCAGGTTGAGGCTCCATGCCCAAGCCTGCTGCATGCCCAGCCTGGCCTTGGCATCCATGACCAGGAGCCTCGGCTGACTTTGGGGAATGTAAGTGTGATACTGGCCATGTGCTTTTGTTTAGGGTTCTTCTGGAAGAGTTGGAGATCAGGTGGAGAGAAGGACCTGCCTGTGCCAGGTCTGACCAACAACCATCACAGATATCTTGCCTTGGGAGGTGCAGGCTGTGGGCTTCAAGAAAGCTTTCCTAAGGACCAGGCCACATAGCAGACCGAGGGCAGGCCATACGGGGCAATGTCTGGGGTTGGGCCCCTGAGGAAATGGCCAGCAGGGAGGGCAGAAGCCACAGTCCCTCACACTCAGTCCAAATTTATCATGTACACTGCTCTATTTTGTGGCTGAGGCAACTGAGTCAGTAGCCACCAGTTTGAGAGAGTTGCACGTTGACAACGTGCCTTGGGCAGAAAATGACAAAGTCTAGCATAACCCACTGAATCCCTCTGCCTGCTAGGGCAGAGACCAGAGCTGACCAGGGCAGGGACCAGGGCTGATGGCGGCATCCCATGGCTAACACAGAGCCCAGCACTGATCAAAGAGTAACGATGGTAGCTCAGGGAGCACAGTGAAAGAAACAGCTCCACCACGATCTGCGCAAAGTCTGGCCTGGCTCCTCCTTCCAGAGAAGTGCACAGTGGCCGGGATCCAGGAAATATGGTTCCTGAGTACTAACACTGCCACTGCTGGGGCGTACTGTGTACCCTCCCAAGTTCCCCGCCCTTCTGTGACCTCCCCAATCACAATGCTGGCTCCCGGGATATAACAGCAGTCTTGAGAGACAAATGGGGTGGGGAGAGGGAGGTGAGGAAACCCTGACCTTGTGGAGCAGGAAGGCCTTGGCTCAGACTGAGCTGGGCCCCTCGAGGGAGTGGGCTTTGGTCTGCATGTGAGGCCACCTTCACAGGATTGAACACAGGCGAAGATGTGAAATGACCCAGCCAAGGTGTGCCCCAGCTACTGACTCACTTGAGCAAACGTACCCCACCCAACACCATGGCCCAAAACTTTCAGGTCCCGATCTTCGGGACCTTCTGCTGTGTGACCTCAGCAGCTGGGGCGTGCCCAAGCTGGGGCACTGAAAGAGCTGGCCGGGCAGGTCTTTCTTCTGAGAGGAAAATTTTCGGGATTCTGTTGGAGTGATCCACATTCTGCCAGGACCATGAGCCTGCCCCTGCACTTGGGGGCTCAGGATGCATCTGCCTCCGTGGTCTCACGGAGCCAGACACAGATGCAGGGGAGACAGAGGAGCCACCATTTGTCCTGTCAGGGTCTCAGTAAAGACCAGGGCAGGGAGAAGGACAGACATCAAGAGACCACCGTGAAGGGGAACTGATGGCACCAGGCTTGAGGTCTTTCGTGTATTCATTTATGGCCTTACTATTCACTCAAGGGCAGTGGAAGGCCACAACAGCTGCTATCATGCCTGCTTCTCTGTAACTAAGCATATAACACGTGTGTGTGCATGTGTGAGACATGTGATTCTCATGTCCCTAATTTCCCTTTTTGCCCAGGCTGCTCGGGAATTGAGAGCTGAATGTGAAGCCCAGCGACAGCAACCCTGCCGGTGGGTGTCGGCGTGGGCTCTTCAGTGGTTGAGGGTTCTGTTGAGATGCTCTGGGTGGACTCACATGGCGGCACTTGGGTTAGCAGTGGAGCATGTGCGCCGTCTGCACCCCCAGGGACTCCTCAAACTGCACAGCACCCGAGGGAGATGGCGCTAGGTGTGGGCCGGCTGAGGAGTCACTTCACTGCTGGATGGGTGCCTGAAGGGCTGCATCCAGAATCCACACAGGCTCCCTCCCACTCTCCCTCCCAAAGTGGCCCCACGCTGTACCTGGATGGGAAAGTAGTCTCGGAAGTAGCGCCACACAGCCCAGTTGCGGACCCACTGTGACCTCCGGCCACCTGCCAAGAAACCAAACACAGTGTTGAAAAGCAGGGGCGGGGGAGGTTCAGAGACCTGGGCCAGGCAGGTAAGACAGCCTCAAGACCAAGGAACCTGGGGACATGGGCACTCTAGTTAGAAGCTCTGAGGGCAGAGATGGCCCTCACCCCGTAGCACCTATCCCCTCCCCTCCCCCTATCCCCTCTCACGGTGTGTAAACTTTGATTGAGACTGGGGAGGGGAGGCTTAGATCCTCCCCGCAAACCGCACTCCAGCCTTGCCCAGTGCTGCTTACAGAGCAGGTGCAGGCAGCCTGCAGAGCCCGGCTGTGGAGGGGGAGCCTGGTGGTCCTACCTTTCTTGGGCGTGTTCCAGTCAAATGCCAGCCAGGTGAAGTAGAGCACAGAGAGGAGCCAGCAGTCGGTGCAGAACGTGTACATGAGGAGGGCACTGCACATCACTCCTGTGTGGGGCAGGCAGGCAGGGGGCCCCCATCAGGCCCTGCTCCCCACTGGGGACGGGCCTCAGCTGGGGATCCTGAGCCTAGACCCACCAAGCAGCTCAAGGAGGCCTGGCTGTGGCATGAAAGTCGGCACTGCAGGGCAAAGGGGGTCTGTGGTCTTGCCATGTCAGAGATGGCCAAGGATGCACTCATCCTGGGGAGGGACAGGTGCTCCCCCCGGCCCCCTGCTCTGACGGGCTGCCCTGGCCTCAAGGGACTCTGGGCTCCACACTGCCAGGGTAGTGGTGCTGCAGGCGGGGGCAGGCTTCCTGGGAGTCTGTGCTTACAGCTGCCCTTTCTGCACACTCCAACCACCTCGTGCCCAGCACTGATCTCAGGGCTGCAGGGAGGGAGGACCTGGGATGGGCCACCCTCTCAGTTACAGGCTGGCTCCATTTCACCCCATTTTGGAGGTAAGAAAACTGAGGCTCGGGGAAAAGTAACTCACCCATGGTTACCTGACAGGGCAGTGGCACGGCCAGAATGCACACCCAGGTCCGACAGCAAAGGCCAAAAATGAAAAGCCCCAGACTGCCACTGGGGGAAGCTGAAGAGGAGGTTTTCTGTTGCCAAAGGAGCTCCCTCCTGGGGCACTCAGAAGGCTTTCCTGGGTCAGCTTCCATCCTGTCCCCGCTCTGGGCAGCTGGCCACACCCACAGGTTGAACAGCCTGGCACAGCAGGGAAGGGATGCCAGTGCTAGGCCTGGTTTACCGTAATCCTGCCTCAGGCCCAGGTGCCCTCACAGCGCCGGTCCTGTCCTGGTCCTACCAGCCTTCAGCTCTTTGAGCAGCATCCCCGGAACCATACTATCTATCCTCCCCCTCACCCCCATGCAGCTCTCAACAAACCTACTGCTGACGCTTGGGTGCCTACTCACAGCAACCCTATGGGCTGCCCCCGAGGGTTTCCCAGGCTGTGACTGGTGGGTCCCAGCGGCTGGCCTTTCAGTGAGCATCTGAATGCACAAACACTAGGCCACCTCTTTGGCCCCTGGCACCAGCAGAGCAGCAGGTGCTTCTAGTTGGTAGAAGCAGAGCCTCCTATCAGCCCCATCTCCATAGCCTAGGGTGAGAATCCACCCTTTGCTGTGTGTCCACCAGGTGCCGGGTCCCCCGCTGGGCAGGGGACTACAGGGCTGCCTGGCTCTTCTTCCCTGCACACTGTGCTTCTGCTGGCTTCCAGGGTGAGGGGTGAGGGGTAGACAAGGGTCGGTGTGGCCCCTGAGCCTATAGGCTAGACTTGATCCTCAGTATAGATTCTATGCTCTCCCATGATCACCCACAGGCTGCCTTGCACCCCGTTCCTCTGGGCCCAGAGTTTTGTGTTTTAGGCATCTTTCTGAGCCAGACAGATCCTCCCAGAGCTTACGAGTTCCTGGAGGGCAAGGCCTGGTGGCCCCCTGTCCTCTCCAAACCAGTCCTATTCTAGACTCCTGGGCCAGCACCTTCCCAGGGTAGCTCAAAATAGAACAGAACCCAACTCCCTTTGGGAGGGACCTCAGCATACAGCAGCCAGGCATCCAGCTTTTCAGGACCAGCCTAGGAGTGCAGCATCTCAATGGGGAAGCCTCAGTTTTCTCTCAGGAAGTGTGTGGAGCCAAAAAGAGCCTAGTCTGCTTGGTGGCAGCCAGGAAGAACCGGAGGCAACTTGGCGAATGGCTGTGACCAAGTTAAGGCCACCGAAGCCACTGTCCACATTGTTCAGCAGGTTGCCCGGGTTCCCTTTCCTAGGCCTGGGGAAAAGGCTACTGTAGCCCCCATAGTCTTCACAGGCATCCAAGCTCCTGTACAGGCTAGGCAGGGACTCCAGAGGCTGGAGACACAGCTGTCAGCAAACCCCTAACTCTTCCGAGATGTAGAAGGCTGAGGCTGAGCAGAGGCTGAGCGCTGGGTCTGGGTCTCAGGGAAGGGGGCTCTCCTGCCTACCTGCCCTTACCCTGCTGCTAAGGCAACCTAAGGAGAGATGAGACGAGAACTCACCGAGAGTCTAGAGACAGGCTTTCTCAGCTGGAGGGCCTCACAGCTGACTCTGAGCAGAACCACCATCCCCTAGACATCGGGCCAGGAAGCGGTTCCACCTCCAGGGCTGTGGGGTGGGGGCAGGAACCAATGCCCCTGGCCAAGGAGACATCGACAATGTGCTGGAAACCCCTGCCTGCTCCACACAGGAGAGGTTCAGGGCCACTACCACACACTAGCCCTTGAACCCCTCAACCCCACCCCGCCCATTATCAGGTGACTCACAAAGATGCCCAAAACACAAAACCCTTGGCCCAGAGGAATGGGCTGCAGGGCAGTCTGTGGGTACTCAGGGGAGAGTACAGAAATCTATACTGAGCATCAAGTCTAGCCTATAGGTTCAGGGACCACGCAGACCCAGAGTCTTGGCCCTGCCACGTGCTGGGAGGATAACTGAGCATGTCTGAAGAGGACTGAAATGGAGCCTAGGAACCCTGGTGGTATAGCAGGCTGTGTGGGGCTGCTCCAGACAAGGGGTGGTTCACACCCACCAGCTTCCCCAAGGAAGAAAGACGATGCTTCCTGTTCCCATAGAGTTAATCTCAGAAACCCACAGGGGAAGTTATACCCGGTCCTGTAGGGTCACTATGAGTCAGAATCGACTCGATGGCAGTGAGTAGTTGAGTGGTACCCATTATGAGCAACACAATAGTGCACCGAGGGACTTTCTCATCACATTTTAGCAACTGCAGGCACCCTGAAATGGCACCAGGCATCAATAACTATCTTAATTATTACATCTGCTGTTAGAGCTTTTTATTTCATCTTTTCATGCCAAGAATGGATACCAATATCTGTGACGTTTGGTTTTCTAAGGTGGGTATGTTATTCAGTATCGGTGGTTTCCTTCAGGAAACCATGAAATCCAATAACATTTACATCACACTTATGAAGGCACTAAGAAAGGAGCTGCAGCACAGAACTGCTGGGAAACATCTGTTTCCATGGGAGGCCGCCAGGCTCCCGGCAGCCATCACAGGTGTGCCAGTGCACTGGGGTGGCAGCAGGCGGGAAAAGCAGGGGATGCTCAGGCAGTCTAATTGAGCTCTCACCAGGGATGCCCAGGCCTCCTTCCCACCTACACAACAGCGTTGGGGGGACACAGAGCCAGTTTCTGGGCTGTGGGTGGGCCTAATCAATTGTTAACTTACAGCTTGGAGCCAGTCCTCGCCGTGTGGGCGGGGATTCTACGAGCTGCCAAGTCCTGACCCACTAAAGTAAGGATGGTGGTGGCCTTTGGGGTGTACCTGGAGATTTAAAATGCTGGTGCAGCTGATGGGGTGGGGATCCGGGGTTCCCGAGTCCCTGAACCCTTGTCCTGGTCATCCTACCTCCTCTCATGTGACATGGGGCCAGGCTCTATGCCAAGCGGCTCCCGCTCTGTCTGAACACTGTGCTCCCTGGCTCAGAAGTCTATTGAGTAGCCAAACACAAGCAGCGGTGGGGGTTGAGCCCTGGGATGGCCAGTTTAATGTGTTCCCTAGACCAGTGCTTCCCTTTTTGAGGCCTGAGTGTCTCTAAAAGAGTTGATCGGAGATAGAATGGTCCTTTTTTTTTTTTTTTTTGTAGTATGAAGGTATTTTCTCATTTATTTTAAATTGTTCTCTTCCTCGCCACAGAATTATGTATTTTAACATTAGGGAAAAAATCATTGTTGACTTTTCTAAAAAGGAAAAAGCCACAGCTCATTTCAGGTATAACACAAGACATTGTGCATGGAGTAGCATGGATTACCGACATGATATCAACTAACAATGGCAAGAAGAATACGGATTATTCAAAGTCCTACTCCAAAGACAGGAATGGTCCTTTTTACCTGAAAAGGGTATGTGTACTTGCACACGTTTTTGCCTTTAATTTTAGAAGCCCTAGTAAGTATTGTCCTTACTGTTGGTAAGTCATTGCACTACTACCCACAAGGTTGGAGGTTCAAATCCACCAGTCGCTCCATGGGAGAAAGTTGAAGTTGTCTGCTCCAATCAAGACTTACAGCCTCAGAAACCCTATCCAGGCTTGCATTAGTAGAAATCGACACGTTGGCCGTGGGTGTGGAGTTGTAGTGGGCTTCTGGAAGCTCAGTGTGGCTCTTTCGGTCCCAATTCCTGGTTCCCAAGCAAGGCCCAGGCACTGGGCTGCTTGCCAGCTATGAAGCCCTCTGGCCTCAGGTTGTCCTAAACCTACCAAGAGTTTCCATTTCCTCACCTTTCGAATGGGGCCTGGGGAAAGATGCGTGAGGTAGCGAGTGCATGGCCCGCCCCCTGCATAGGAAGGACAGCATCCCTGGCCAGTCCAGAAATGAAGGCAGCCCAGAGGGACTCACTGACAGGCTCTGGAATGTGCCCTATGAGGTTTGAGCAGGTTTGTCTGGCCTGATGTGCTGGGGATGCGACTTGTATGCCGAGGACCCAGGGGCCGTGGGCAGGAGACGAGGCTCTAGAGGAGCAGTGTCCTTCCAGACACACACCAATGTCCCGACGCTGGCCAGGAGGGCCAGCCAGCCAGCCTTGCAGGAGCAGTGAAGGCGCGGACATGGGAAGACAAAGAGGCTGGGGCACTGAGCTGGCCACGGCAAGCAGCTTTCCCAGGCGCCCCCTTTGGCCAGGCGCGGCTAAGTGCTCCCCTCCTCATCCCAGACGCCCCTCACCCTCCAAAGGCAAAACCAACCGAGAGCTTAACAACCCAGTGAGTTCCAGGAGCTGAGCAGAAGTGGTCAGGATTCAAACCTGGCCCCGCATCTCCCTAAGACGAAGCAACAAGACTGCCGAACAGTGTGTGCTGGGAGCAAGGCTTCAAGCCAGTTCTTGGCCACTTAAGAACCAGAACAGACCTGGATGTGGAAAATGTGGGTGAACTGGAATGATCCACGGAATGGATAAAATTATGGGTCAATTTATGGGGCAGGAACATGATCTCCATCTTAGCAAACAAAGGCAGGGTGTGGGGAAGCACAACAACACTCGTGGTCAGCAGAGCAGAAGGCAGTGTGCCCAGCTCAAGACTGGGGCTGCCTGTGTCGCTCTCCATAGTCCTGACAATGACCCGTCTCCCGCAGCAGGGAGCGCTCACCAAGCTTCTCCCCAGGCTCCCACTCCAGCGTTTCCGCCTGCAGTCTTTCCTGTTCCATAGTTCCACTTCACCTCAATTTTCAAAATGTGGGTCTGTTCCGATGTTGATTTGTTGGGCAGGACTGAATTGGCTCAAACTGGTTCAAAGCCTTGGTTGGAAGGCAGGGTGGAAGGTAGTGGATGGAATGATAGGCAACTCTGGGAGAGTGATCTACCATCCCTTGAGTTTCCCATCTATACAATGGAGACCACAGAATCTTTCTGAGTCCTCACGCATGGCCAGTGAGAGAATACTTGATCCAAGACCCCAAAGGTGGTGAGTCAGTGGGGGGGGGAAGGTGTTCTTTAAGGCCTGACACTGGCCCTCGTGGGCAGCGAAAAAGAGGGAAGCCCTGAAGGGGATGGATTGACAGAGTGGTTGCCACAGTGGACTCAGGCATAGGAAAGAGTGTGAGGATGGTGCAGGCCCCCACAGGTCAGGCGATGTTTCCTTCTGTTATGCATACTGCGGGGTGGTGGTGGGGGTGGTGGCTATGTGTGGGAACCGCCACCAACAGCAACAGCACTGGCCCTCAAAGATTACTCCTTGCAGAGCAGGGCTTCCGTTCTAACCTCTGTTGGCAGGTGCCCCCACCGCCCGCTCAGACCCAGCTTACCCATCACTAGGAAGGTGAGGACCCATTGTAGCACTGAGATGACTTGGAGCTGTTTTTCCACCTTAGACCTATTGAGCCAAGTGATGGAGAAGAG